ATTATTGTTATATTCCATTACCTTCCAGTTCTATGATTTGAAGCATGTAACAAACCATCCAGTATCAGCTGTTAATGCAGTCATCCAAACCATGTCCTAGTAAAACAAAACAAAACACCCAAGCCCGAATTAAAAGATTCACATTACTTTTGTACCAGAATCATAATTCTTTGGAGAAAAGAATACCCTACTGGAGAAAAAGTGATAAAATGATGCTTCCCAACTACTGGTATGCATACCACAGAAGGGACTTAGAAGTCCTATAGATGGAACTCAGCTCAAGTCACTGCAACTTTAATTAACCCCTTTGAAATCTGCAGTAACTGGTAATAATCTAATGTTATAATATCTGTATGTGTATAAAATATCATTGGAGAATGGGCTTTTTGTTGCTCTGTTGGTGGGATTGTGGGATTCAGATTCTTTGACACAGTGATTGATGGGACTTAAGATAGAAAAGATTGAAAACCGCTGCCCCAGAACACATTCTCTGGAACATCGGCCTCCTTGCCTTGCTATGCATTGGACAGACTCTTGGGGGCGCTATTAGCTACCTAAAGGAATCATCTCATGACAGTCTCATACTGCAACTGCTTTCTTGCCTCAGCAGCCAGAGGAAAGGGGCAAGCCAGCTCTGAGTAGAGAATCCTCACAGTATTTGGAAGAGAGGCAGGACATTATCTGTGAGAGATACACAAGGGGAGAGAACCAGCAAGGCAGCAAGCTGTAGAAAATTCCTCGGGGGCTCTGGACTCCTGATTATTTGATTTCTCTGTTTGCTTCAACTGCATCACCATCTCTGCTATGTTTTGGAGTCAAATAGCCCCAAATGCTGTAAGCTTCCTATGAATTCCTTTCAAAGGAAATAAATTCTGAAAGAGTGCTGGGCTCCTTGAACTTTTCATGGTAGATAGATCTTAGGCAAATCTAACCCTTCATCATTATGATCAGGACTGTCCCCCAGAGAACTTCTAGCTATTTCTGTGGCTCTGGCTGCATTTCTTCCAGCAACCACAATCAAAGAGTCTGTGAATTCTAGGATGTATAAAATGTCCAAAGTATGGTAACCAGGGAATTTCATTCTACCAATTCCAGATCCTTATGTTGGAGACAGTGAAGTATCTCTAGAACTGTCCTGTAATAACTCTCCTGAATTATACCACTTCTCTTGACCCAGAAGAGTTATAAAACTGATTAAAGAAAGTCTTCAGTTTGAAGTGCTCATCCCCAACTTTTCCGACTGACTTAAGTTTTTTATTGTTTGGTTTTGATTTTGGTTTTGGTTTTACTATATGGAGCAAGCATTTCATTGTACAGTGTTTTAGTAATAGCAACATAGAAATTCATTCTCTTGGCTGGAATATGAAAACGCTTAATATACCAGAAATAGTTTTACTTTTAAATAGCTTCCCCATGATTTATTAATTGCTTCAATTGTAAACAAAATACCTGAAGTAGAGAATTACTACCTGTCCTGAGTGGGAAAATTTTCGTTTGTTGTATGATTTCACCGAATTGAGAAATTTCTCAAATCAAAATTTATCAAATTGAAAAAAGGGAATCAAGAAGCACTGCTTCACTTAGCTTTCCCTATAACATAAAAAAGATGATGCAAATATGATATTGTTGATTGTTATTTTTAAATTAACTTAAAGAAGGAATCAGGTATCTTTTCCTTTAAGCAAAAACATCAAAACTTGTAATCTAAAGGAAAAGCTTACTCCACTTGAAATTTATTGTGTGCGAGTCCATTGTAATGCCAAGGAGTTGCACAACTGCATTATTGTTGGATGCAAAGGTGCTATGGACAGGCTTCTGGAGTGGGTCCATAATGTAAGTTACTTACCTACTTCATTTATTGATTTACAATCAAAGATCCAGAAATAAAGAAGTAGCAGTAGTAATAAACAAAAAAACGAAATAAAAACATATTGCAAGGCACAATGAAAGAAGCAGTAAAATCAAAGGGAGATTGGAGAAAACGATCTAGTACAATTGAAATTATCCCTACGATCCTATAAAGTAATTACAGGATAGTGTTCTAAGAAGACCCCAATTCTCAACAGGCTGGTGGCCTCTGCTCTATTGCAACGAAATCTGTAGTTGCAGTAGAACAGTGTCTGAGTGAAACAATGATTTTTTCCCCCTGTTTACCTCTTTCTCTGCACTGAATTTAGCTCCGGGTCCTTACTGAGCTGACAGCGTCAAGAGTTTGTTCAGAAAATATATAACACAGTTCAGCAAGAAAAAGGGGGCAAATGTTATAAACAGGTAATGCAAATAAATGAACAAGTAGTAGAGGAGGTGCAATTATACAGTATCAACCCCCATCTCACAATCTGCACTCCAAGCTTCATATTCATTTGCTCCCCCACCAAACAGAACTTACCAGGCATACAGTATATGGCATCCCATCGGTGGGTCAATAAAACTTCCTGGAGCTGCTGCATTCTGGGATCCTAAAAACAGAGGGTTTGCCAAACAGCTAGCAGAACATCTACATTCAGCTTGGTGGGCCAAAAGTTGCATAGGTGTCCCTTCGGAAATAGGTGAGTCTTCCTTTGTCTTCAGATACTCTTATCATTCTAACTACTTTTGCATATCATCTCCCATGTTTTGGAACTCTCTAGCCCCTCATAAAGAGGGAAACACCCACTCTGAATTTTCTGATGGCTACCAAGTGCTGATTTTCTCTCCGAACAAGCATTTTCAATTGTAATGATCTGGTTCAGTCAATAACTATGAAGGAATGTGTCCCTTTCTGCTCATAAGGGAAAATTCTATGGCAGAACTGTGTGCTAGCGATTCAGAAAATCAGCACAGAAAGGACTAGTAAGAGCGTGAGAGGGAGGTGAGATGCCGAGGGTAGGGAAGAACGTAAGATGGAAGCAAAGGGCATGAAATGGGATCGCTAAGAGTGAGGAGCAACTAATGCGAGCCTTAGAAAGGAGGTGAGGTGAAGATCAGGGATTTAGGGAACAGTAGGTAGACCACAGATGGGATAAAGAAGCAGCAACAATCAGAAGATGAAGGTGTTATATAATTTTATCCAGGAGGCAGACGTCTAATCTGTCTTCCCCAGACAATTATCTCTATACTTTTTTCCCTCATACTTTAATTGCACTAAATGTACAGAAAGGAAAGCCTCCCCCCTCAAAACAAACAAACAAACAAACAAACAAAAATAATAAAAAAGGGAGGCAAAAAACATAGAAACATGTTACAGAGGAAGTCACTCAACCCAGTGTTTGACTACATCATTGAACCCTCAAACTGTAGAACCAGGTCAGCTATCCTCTGTCTGGACATCTGATCTGAATGGGATAAAAGCATTTGCTGGCTAGACATTTGTTTGTCTCCTCCATTTCCTCCTCCTCTTCTTCTTTTTAATATACTGAGATGGTCGATCTGGCATTATTATTTTGAAAGATGAATTTTGAAGGACAGTTACACAGCGGCAGAATTCGGAATAACTGTACAGCTCTTGTTTTGTTTTGCTTTCCAGCTGTAAGGCCCTCCCTGCTGCAGAAGTGCTGAGGTTCATAGACACCAATTAGACTTTAAAACAAAAAGAAATCCGAAGCAGCCCATGTGGCTTCCCACTTCTGCAACTGCAGGAGGCATACCTGTAATGTGGAGTTACATTAGAATCCAAAGATGCTGCTCTGTATTCATGAGTGTGTAATCACAAATCATGTTTTCTATGAAAAATTATTAGCATGCATGACTGAGGAAAAATGGAATTTCTGAACTCTCCTGGAGAGAATCGTAGGCTATGAGGAAACAGGTGGGGCCTTTTGGCAGGTGAAGGAACTGGGTTCAGGAGACAAGAACCTGGCACTGAATTGCAAGTTAGATGCAAAGGTTCACTCCTGATTCGTTAAAGATTGTTACATGGAGAAGTCCATCAGGGTTGGATTTGCCAATTATCATGACATTATTGATGGAAAAGCCTACCAAAGTGAAATCAGCATTTCTGCAGATCTCTCCAAATACATGACTAGAACCTGAAGACCTTCTGGGGACAGCGATGCTACAGAATTTCTGGAACTAACTGGTTAGGATTTTTACCCATTAGCTTAAACCGAGGCAGCAACCCTGTCCTTTCTGGATGTTTAGGAATATAATTCTCATCTGATGAACCAGCATGGCCAAAAATCTGGGGTAAGGGGAATTTTAATCTCAGGCATGGCTTATTCTTGGTCTAAATAATGGATAGGCAATTCACAGAGCTCCCCACCGTCCAGGCTTGGGTGTGGGCCCTAAACATATTCCTCATTTATAACTAAACACTGGTTGCTGCCAGATTTAAAGCTGCCTGGAAACATTTTCCCTGCATCATTAGAAACCAAATATTGACTAATCATGATAAAGTTCAGAAATAGTTTGGAACAGGTGTTTACTGAAATGTCTTTTTTATCTTCCCTGAAGCTCCACAGTACCAAGCCACATGCTCTTTCTTTGTTTTGAAACATACAGCTTCTTTGAAAAAAAAAATTCAGTTTTAAGGAGAAGAAAAGAACAATGGTGGCCATAGCATGTATGAAAGTCTGTTGGCTTATTGGCCAAGGCTTGCATGCCATTACTTGGACCTCTTGGGAGCATTTAGTTCCTGCTGGTGTCAAATACTTTTTGAATGTATTTGTTTATATTTTTATTTATTCCATAGCAATATTTAATATTGAGGATTGCACACATTTTTTCCTTGACGATGCCTACATTTTTACAGATGGCCTCCAGACCCCGCCCCCCCATAACTTAACTGAACTTTGGAAATGTGCCATGGAAAGACAGAGATGCAGTCATTTCTGGATAAGCCCATTTCCAATAGTGGGGCTCTTTCAGAGGGATGGAGGCTGCTTGGCCTGTTTTTATGGTGGTAGTAGCAGCTCTCTTTCCATGATGCAGATTCTTCAGAGGAGGGCAGATGAGGAAAAAAGCCTTACGTCTGGCCCATATATGGCTGGCTGAATCTCGGTGGCATTTTTCTCTCACCTGGCAGCCGTGTAAGATTCAAACTGGATATTGATCCCTGTTCTCGTTCTCAGCGGTCGAGGGCTGGCATTTCTTTCCCGCGAATGTCAGGGCAGAATACTACAGTGCTTCTGAGAGTACAGCAATCAAAGTCTAGAAAAGGCATGAATAAACAAAGATAAAATGGCAAAGTCATCAAAGAACCTGATTTCCTGTTTGCAGCAGAGTGGTTTGATACTTCTGCATTTTATATGCTACTGAGAGGAAAAGATGAGAACAACATCTGTGAAGTACCTGCTTGACCTGAGGTGTGGATTTACACTGATACCACTACAACTTTCTGCTCTGTTCTGTATGAGGTCAAGATGTCCACTATACCTTTTACCAGCATGATCGCCTGGATTGTTCTTACTGCATTTCATGTTATTCAGAACCCCAGTTCAGCAGGTAATTACCTCTCTTTCTTTCTGCCTCTTTCTCTCTCCCCCTCTTGCTCCATCTCTCTGATTCCTGTGTGGAAAATCTGTCAGGCAATTGTTAAAGAAGATTGAAACCAATGCACAGCAATTTGGGTATAAAGGATAACGTTCATTCATCCAGATGGAGTTCCAACCTTCCCCCCACCAACCCACACATCTAAGATTGGGCTGCCCTGTTACAAAAATAATGGGGGATTTGAAATAAGATGCCATCTGTGGGAATTACTGTAATAAATGATTTATAACAAGGTTTGTTTTTATAATGGTTGAAGTACATGAATGCTTCTCTTTTCTTTCCTTTTGGCTGAAGCTGACCAAATCTTGGCCCAAAAGCTGTCCAGATGAAACACCTCTAGTCATTACAAAATTGGGGCTCTTAGTTTCTTGGAGAAGGAGCAAGGTACTACTGGAATAAATGTGGACCTCATTGTCCTGCTTGGCATATGAGGGTTCTTTTCTTCTCTTGTTAAGAATATATATATATATTTATCTAATGGCTCTCAATTTTTCATATAGTCCCACCAATCACACTATCAGAGAACTTGGGTTCTAGTAATGATGGAAGCAAAATGCCAATTCTTTTCAGGAGAAAGAAGTACATGCACAGGCATTCCATTATTACTATTATATATCATTTATGGAAATTTTAAGGATTTAATTAAATGTTCAGTGATTTACCCTGCATCGCATCTAGACTGAATCCCACCTGTGTGTATACATAGCATTGGTTGAGAACCACCATTCTATTCCATTGATATATCTTATTTTATCTTATCCGGAACGTTGAAAGTTAAAGTTACATAAAACAGTATTTGCTAAATCAGTGTTTTTCCATTGTTGAATTTATTTTGACAAAGCTGTAATTAGAGAAAGGGCTTTAGAAGAGATTTTTTTTTTTTTACAGTTTTGGCACACCCTATACCCCTCTTTATATTTCTCTTATAATTAATAATTCTATCTGTATTTATTATTTTTAAATTATATTTCTTAAGTGCTCATCTGCTTGCACTTTTTATTCCTTCCCAAGGGCTGGTGATGTTCACCTTGCTTCAACAAAATCAGCAGCAAATAGTTAAGATGTCCTAAATGAATAATAATAGTCTTACAGAGAAACAGGCTTGTAACTTTAACATTAACCAGCTTGCAGTAGTTTCACAAAATAATATTCATAATGGTAAATAAGTCTTCTCTAGTCTGTTGGAGGCACCAACATGGCTATCATGTAATAAGCACACTGGAAAACTACCAGACTGGAGAAGGCTATAAGAAACAAGAGCGAATGCTTTTACTGATGATGTTGACAGAGCCAGGTCCACTGTAACAAGGTGGATGTTGCACTGAACCTTGTGCCAAGATTTAGATCTCAGTACATATTATCAGATAGACAGTTTAATTTTTCTGACTGCGAAACTGAACTTACCTCTCACTAGTCTTTGGATATCTCCTTTACAAAGAAGAAGGTTAGACATCCTAAATCTCATGAAGAATATAAGTATTTATCTTTATGGGTCAAATCAAGGTCTATCTACTTGACTGACCTATTTTCAATAACTGTTTGTGGGTAGGATGCCGCCAACCTTCTACAAAAGAGATGAATGTCCTCTGTGGTATGTTCCCAGCACCTATTACTCGGTGTAGTTCAGGGAAAGGGCAGTTCATTATCTCTGCTCTACCATCTGTTAAGTCTAAATTGCCCTCCACCAAGCTGGCATTTGACTTGCTGGTGAAAACAAGCAGGCATCCTTTAGTTATCTTTTCCTTAGCAGGGCAAATGGCAACTTAGAAGAACAATTTCAACGAGGAAAATGGTTTGGTTCAAAAAGTACCTACCATATTCCTATTCAGTAGTCACTGGCTCAGTTGGGGCCCTATCAGCACTCAAAAACCATAACCTTCCTTGGCACATCCATTCCCTATGAGCAATCCACTGCATTTCCCCTCTTGCCTATAGAGCCTGATTGACTGTCTCTTTTAGGGTTATTTCATTATCTTTGCTTGCTTGTTAAATCAAGAAGGACTCTTTGAGGAATTTTTTACAATAAATAATGATGCACATCGTTATAGTCAAGTTGAAGACCCCAGCTTATGACACTCCTTCCTTGCCCTTTTGCTACTTCACTTCCTTAAATATGTGGCAGATTATTAACAGCATAGGTTCAGAGACAGACAAGGGCTTCGTTGTCTGGATAGCAGTCAAAAATAGTTTAGTCTTTATTGGGGATGGGGGAATTTGTTGTCCATTCGGTTTCCCACAAATTCCTAAGTTCAGTTTGTTACATTCCATATTAGTTTGAGAATATTTTTAAGTAGTTGCAATTAAAATTTATTAGTATTTTTGTGCACATCTTTTGAAATACATTTTTGTTATAAATGTATTTTTATACTTGTGTACAGTTTTGGCAAATAATTTTCTCCTCTAATGCATTTTATACATCATTATCATGAATATATACTTTGTGTGTGTGTGTGTGCCTTCAAGTCAGTTTTGACTCTTGGTAACTGCCTGGACAAGTCCCTGCAGATTTTGGCAAGATTTTGGAAGTGGTTTGCCATTGCCTGCTTCCTAGGGCTGAGAGAGAGTGACTGGCCCAAGGTCACCCAGATGGCTTCATGTCTAAGAAGGGACTAGAACTCCTGGTCTCCCAGTTTCTAGCCTGATGCCTTAACCACTACACCACACTGATTCTCTCAATATATACATGCCGTACATTTCTCTAATACATGATTACGACTGGTAAACTGCACCACAGTATTCAGAGACGTGTACTGTATGTTTGAAAGGATGATGACCTTTGGGTTGTACAGTCATCTGAAAATGTGAAATTAGGTAAATTTATATTCAGATGTGTCTGGCTGTTAACCAGTAACAGGTGCTGGGATTCCATGATACTCCTGTTGAAAGATAGGTTGTCTGTTGTACGCTAGGTACAAAGAAAAGTGTGGCACTATAGCTCCAAACCCTACAGTGATGTGTCACATAGTCACCAGCTAGGCTTGAGGTCTTTTCTTTATTGCCATTTCAAGTCCTTAAAAGCCTAATGGCTGGCTCTCCCATTAAGAACCTATCCAGAGGTGAAGCCAACCAGGGATGGTCCGCTGTATCAGAGGTCCACCTTTCTGGCTTCCAGGAGAGAACCTTCTCCTGTATTGCTCTCTGAAAATGAAACACACTCTCCTGGGAGTTGTCTTTGAGCCTATTCTCTCCATGTTCAGGAAATTGGTAAAAGCATCTCTCTTTTGCTGGGCTTTTAATAGTTGATTTTCAACATTCATTGTATGGTTTTAGTCTTTTGTAATGAATTTTTAAAATGTGTAAAACATATATTAAATAAATAATTATTTTAAAAATCCAAATTAAATGCTTTTCTACTAGGCCCTGCTCCCTGTATGTTAGACCAACATTGTTGTCTTCAATAACCTGATTTTAACTTTCATTAAGATAACAGAACTTCTTTATCTACCTCTACCTCTGCCCCCCTCCCATCTACCCTTTATGACTATTCTATTGTGGAAAGTAGACTGATGAAAAAGTGGGGAAAATGGAAACAAAACCTTCATCAGAGAATACTTCCCACATTATTTGTGGAAATATTACCAATGTAAACAAAATTAAGCAAAAAAAAAAAAAAAGAGGGAGGAAGAGGAATTTTTTGTTTGTTTGTTCTTTAGCAAGATATTTGGAAAGCAAACAGAATATGCACTAGGAGGTGAGGGACATGACTTTACATAATTAGGTTTCTTCTGGCCCAGATCTTTAACTGTGAGATAAAGCCTAAGGTGAATAACCAGCAAGTCATGGTCAGAAAGCATTGCAATTAAGCTGAATCAAATAGAACAAAAAATGGTAAGAAAGGGAAGCCAATATAACATTCCATGTCTCAGTTCAGCAGAAGCCAGGCTGTATTTAATTAAAGAAGAACTTGGTGAACGGCATACTAGGAGTTGCTTAATCTACTCCCAGTTTATAGATTATCTACATGCACCAGTGAATCCCATCCTTGACTCTGGGCATACAACAAGGCCCCATCCCCTAGGTACAACATGTTGCACTGGTGATGCCTGCAAAGGGATAACTCCTTGGATTAGGTGAACAAGAACCTTGTGTTCAATGTGCAGATGTCCAGGAGATGGAGCTAGTGGAGGGTGGCAGATGGGGAACAGGACCAGAATCACTGCTCCATTCCTCTTTGTCCATATATATCTCGTGCTGTAGAGGTTCCTGCAGACATCAGGGAGTTTTAAGCAAGATGGACTTATGCAAGGCTACTGCTTACCTGTTACTTTATGGAATAGCATGATTTGCATTATTTCCCTCTGAAGTGCTTAAATTATGAAAAAGCCTTGAATGGATGACCTATAAAAAGCTAGATGCCAGTGAATGGCCAGTTAGCTAAAGCTGCTGCACTGATAACGAAAACAGCAATATATTTTGACAAAGAATGAACTTTGATAACTTCATTCAAGAAGGATCACAAAGGCACTTTTAAGGAAGAATGTACTGCTACCTAAAACAAATAAAAATTAACAGGTGGCTGGTGTGGGTCTTCCGGGCTGTGTGGCCGTGTTCTGGAAGTTTTGTTTCCTA